AAATTTTTCAGCCTGTGTCTTCAGAAAGAAAAATACCAAAACAATACTTCCACATATCCAATTGTGTTGAAATTTTTTCTGGAAGTACCCAACCTATCACTCTATTGCTTCATCAAATTTTTGTGCAAAATAATATTCCTAGAAACACATAAAAATCGCTGAATTCAACACAACCGTAAGATTCTGCCCAGAAATTTTCTTCCTGTCCTGTCCAGAAGAAAATTTTTGAAAAAATACTTCCACATATATTTTTGCCCTGAAAATTTTTATGGTTGAATACAACCCATATTTCTTGCTAACCATAAAAAATTTTGGGTCAAAATATCATCCATAACATTCCAGAAAATTCATCAAAGTCACTCTTAAAATCTGTCCAGATTTGTGTTGCCATCCCTTGTGTTTTCTAGTTATTGTTCATTGTTTCACATCATCCATGGAGTCTTTTGAGTTAAATACACTTAAACAAGGATCACTTAGTGTGGAAGAATTCTATAATAAGTTAAGAGATTTGATGATCTGTGATGGGGTGATTGAACCAGCTGTTATTACCAAGAACATATTTGTGTATGGTGTTAGAAAAGAAATTGCACGGTTGCTTCCTCATCGGTGCAAGTGCATGTTTACTTTATTATACCATGCCAAACAAATTGAAGAGAAATTGCAGCAAAAAGCGGTCGAGAATTCGATACCTTTTTCCTTGTCATACGAGGAGGGCTCAAAAGAAATGAATGAGAATGTAAACATGTGTGAACAAAAATGTGAAAACAAAGATGAGGAATATTTGAGTGAAAAAGAAGGAGAGATTGAGAAAAAAACTGAAGATGAGGAAGAAGAATTGTCTTATAAACTTTGTGAGAAAAAGAATGAGGGAGAAGAATTTGAGAACTCCATAACCTTTGATTTAAGTTCTTTGCAGGTTAATGGATGTGATTCTAGGGTTGAAAATCAATTGGAAGGAATGGTATTGTTGTGCCATGATCTACAAAGCGCGAGATAACTCACTCTCCTTAGTGAAGGTATTAAAGTCATTTGGTCGGACAATTACACATTTTCATTTGATCGAGGAAAATGTGATTCGAGGACGAATCATCTCAACGAGTGAGGGAATGATGAGGTCATGACTACAACAATTTAAAAGATCATTATGTTGGTCCAAATATTATGAAGAAGAAGGTCCTAGAAGGCTCATTGAAAATAGTCATCATTGAAATGAAGTCATGTAGTTATTTAAGTTATTTAAAATGCATTTATGTTAAATTTAATATTAGGAGACTCTTAACTCTTTGTTTTCCCTTTGAAAGTTATGTATTAGCCTATATAAAGGCTAAACACAATCAGAATTTTAGAGATATAGATGAATGAAATTGAATGAAAGAAATGCTAGGCATTTTTGTTGTCTCTCTTGTGTTTTGAGAGATGTTCTTTTAGGCTTATCAAGATAATACCAATCTTGTGGTGCCATCCATTCCTTATCACCTAAGACCAAGGTGTGGCGGAAATATCCTTATACAAAAACACAAAAATAATCCCAAATCCAGCCCCTACATCAACCAATTCCATCTCCAACACCCATAAACTGTAATTGTTGTTCCTGTCATTTTGGTGAGGAAAAGATCGGGCAACCGGAGGGCTCTTTGGTGAATCGAATCTCGAGTTCACCCCGAAAGATCCACATCACAAGACACCTCTTGGTCCAATGAAACACAATGTTGAACACTTAGCACGATTCAAGACACCAAAGTCCTACATGGATACCAACCATATAGTTCTAGACATACGAAACATCAAGAAGACGCTCAAATAGTTCTACAAAGAACACCGGGAAGTCAAAAGACCAAATACCAAGTCAAAAGAATCACGGGGAACAAATCCCGATCCAACTCCACTGTGTTCCCCGCGGGTGGACCCACGGGTAGGCCCCTACCCGTGGTTCTGCCCGCGGGTACACTACCCACAAGTCTATGTACCTGCGGGTGGGCAGCGGGTAGGGCTCTCCCCGCCGTTCCGCCCGCGGGTACACATTCCTGTGCAAAATAATCCCTTCGGGGATTTTCTTCTCCAAACAAAAATTAAGTCCAAAACATGCCAAATCTCACCCAATACAACAAAATGACTTGAATCATGGAAAATGCATAGCAATGGCACAAAGGAACCCTAATCACAAGCTCTAGATATGCAATATCACAAGACAAATGCATAAACCCTCACATTTCATAGCAAAACACAAGTAGAATCCAAGAAATCACATATAGTTAAGCAAAATAGGTTTTGTAGAGCATGGGTTACCTCTTGTAGACCAAAAGACTTCACTTTACACCACAACAAGCTCCCCACAAGGCTTACTTTCCAAACCCACATCAAGATCAAACCAAAAGATCATAAAGATCCTACCTTTAAGAAAAAGACAACTAAGATGGAACCAAAAACACAAGATGAACTTAGATCTTACCCTCCTAGATGCCCAAATAGGTGAAAGGTTGAATCTTGGTAGCAAATATTGGAATCTTGACAAGGGTCTCAACTAAGTTTGGAGAATAAGCTACACTTCTTTTCTAGAGAGAAGGTAGAACTAATTTCTAGGAAATGTAAGGAATAAAATGAAGAAGTCTTCTAGGTTAGGTTACAATACTAACTCTTGGTGAAAAGTCAAGGATACCCTTACTAACGCTTAGAAAGTGTAAGGAACAAGGGAACTCCCCTCAAAGCTCAAGGTACAACACAACTTAAAGGTTGACTAGTCAAATACTAGTCCTTGAGTATTAAAAATCAGGATTTTAGGAATTAATTCCTCAAATAAAATAGGATTAATCACTCAATTAATCCATGGATTGAATGTGGATTTTTGGGGTGTCACATCCTCTCCCCCTTTAAAGAAGCTTCGTCCCCGAAGCTTGGGTACGACGAATTAAAAGCAAACGGTGAAAAGAAACAGCATTGTGACAAGAGGTTCAAAAACAAACTCTTTTGGTCAAAGACCCCAAAAGAACTCACAAGAATTCCAAAGCAAAGAAGTATTCCAAAGCAAGAAAGAAGGCATTTCAAATTCAAGGATTGGCAAGAGTTTAACAAACGGATAGATTGAGCATCAGGAACTCTATCCTCAACACAACCACCGACTTCTAGACAACAACCAAGAACTAAACTTCTAACTCCAAACACCAACTTTCAAGCTAGCTAAACAACAAGGCAACAAGCAAAAACAAGCAAGCACACAAAGCAAGCAACAAACGAGGAAAACGAGGTACCTTCCACAAACAACTCAGGGTACCGCTCCCGCATCGATGACTCCAGCTCCCAGGTAGCTTCCTCTTCCCCATGATGTGTCCACCAAACCTTCACCATTTTAACGGATGTCCTACGTGTGTCCCGAGTCTTGAAGTCAAAAATTCTGAGCGGCCTTTCTTCGTAAGACAAATCTTCATCTATCGGTATTACTTCTGGTGGTAAAACATGAGCCGGGTCGTGAACATATCTCTTGAGCTGCGATACGTGGAACATGTTATGCACCCTTTCCAACTCCATAGGCAACGCCAAACGGTAAGCCAAACTCCCAACCCTCTCCAGGATTTCATACGGGCCTATAAACCTAGGGCTCAACTTCCCTTTCTTTCCAAACCGCATTACTCCCCGGGTAGGAGATATTTTCAACCAAACTTTATCCCCAACCGAGAACTCCACTTGCCTCCTAGCCAAATCAGCATAGGACTTTTGACGATTTTGAGCCGCTTTCATCCTTTCCTGAATCTGTTTAACTTTCTCGGATGTGTCAAGCTTGTATTGAGGTCCCAACACTATCGGATTGACAAGATCCTCCCAACATAGTGGGCTGCGACACTTCTGTCCATAGAGAGCTTCATAGGGTGCCATGCGAATGCTCGAATGATAACTATTGTTGTAAGAAAACTCGATCAAATCCAAATGGTCCTCCCAAGACCCTTGAAAATCTAGCATACAAGCTCTCAACATATCTTCGATAGTCTGTATAGTCCTCTCTGTTTACCCATTGGTGGCGGGTGGAAAGCAGTACCGAGACTTAGTTTGGTTCCAAGAGCTGCTTGCAAGGATTTCCAAAATTGGGACAAGAACCTTGGGTCCCTATCGGAGACAATATCCCTCGGAACTCCATGATACTTTACCACTTGGTTGACATAAGCTTGAGCCAACTGTGTCATTGTCCAGGTCTCCTTCATTGTGATAAGGCGGACAGTCTTAGTCAAACGATCAACTATCACCCAGATTTTGTCCTTACCCGAACGGGTTGTCGGCAGACCTCCCACGAAATCCATAGATATAGAATCCCACTTTCCTTGTGGAACTTCTAATGGTTGTACCAACCCCTTTACCTTACAACGTTCCACTTTTACCTTTTGGCAGTTAAGGCATTTCCCAACAAACTCTGCAACTTCCTTCTTCATATTAGGCCACCAGAAGAAGCCCTTCACGTCTTTGTATAATTTGTCTCCTCCGGGGTGGACCGAATAGGGTGTATTATGACCCTCTTCCAAAATCCGTCGCTTCCACTGATCACATGACGCGGGTATGCATAAACGGCCTTTGTACCTCAACACCCCATCCGTAGATAACTCAAACGGTCCCCCTTTCCCTTTAGCTAGGTCATCCCTTACCTTCGTCAAATATGCATCCTTTTGCTGCTCTTCCTTGATTTCTCCCAGAAATGTAGGTACAATCCTTAAGTTATAGCAAGGAACTTCTGCCTCAACATCTCCCTGTTCCACCACTTCCAAGTTCATCCGTTGGAGCTCCTTACAAAGTTCATCCGCCACTACCCAAATAGAACTGGCGGTATGCTTCGATTTCCGACTTAAGGCGTCCGCCACTACGTTAGCTTTTCCTTCGTGATACTGAATATCCAACTCGTAGTCCTTGATGAGCTCCAACCACCTTCGTTGTCGCATGTTGAGATCCTTTTGGGTGAAGATATATTTGAGACTCTTGTGATCCGTGAAGATCTTGCAACGCACCCCATATAGGTAATGTCTCTAAATCTTCAGAGCAAACACTACGGCGGCCAATTCCAAATCGTGTGTAGGGTAATTCTCTTCGTGAACTTTAAGCTGGCGTGAGGTGTAAGCAATCACTCTCCCATTTTGCATCAACACACAACCTAGTCCTTTCTTGGACGCATCACTATATACCTCAAACCCTTCCGTTCCTGATGGCAATATTAAGAATGGTGCAGTCATGAGCCTCTCCTTCAAATCTCGAAATGCTAACTCACAATCTTGATCCCAAACGAAAGGCACTTCTTTCCTTAATAACTTAGTCAATGGTTGAGCCACCTTGGTGAAATCCAAAACAAACCTTCGATAATAACCCGCTAAACCAAGAAAACTTCTTACTTCCGCCATCGATGAAGGTACAGTCCAATCTTTCACTGCCCGTATCTTGTCCGGATCCACAGAAATCCCCCTACTATCAATCACATGGCCTAGAAACGTCACATTGTCTTTCCAAAACTCACACTTAGAGAGCTTGGCGTATAACTGCTTCTCCCTCAAGATTTGAAGTACCGTCCGAAGATGTCCAACATGCACCCTCTTATCTTTCGAATAGACCAAAATATCGTCGATGAACACGATCACAAAATCATCGAGGTGGGGTTTGAACACCCTGTTCATCAAGTCCATAAAAACTGCAGGGGCATTAGTCAACCCAAACGGCATAACCGTAAACTCGTAGTGACCGTACCGAGTTCGAAACGCAGTCTTAGGAATGTCCTTGTCTGCTACTTTTATCTGATGGTACCCCGACCTCAGGTCAACTTTGGAAAACACTCCCGCGCCGCGGAGTTGGTCAAACAAGTCGTCGATTCTTGGGAGGGGGTATTTGTTCTTGATGGTAACTTGGTTCAGCTCCCGGTAGTCGATACACAACCTCATACTTCCGTCCTTCTTCTTTACAAACAAAACCGGAGCTCCCCATGGCGATGTACTTGGCCGGATATAACCTTTGTCAAGGAGTTCTTGTAATTGGGTCTTCAACTCTTGCATTTCTGGCGTAGCCAAATGATATGGGGCCTTAGAAATGGGTGTCGTGCCTGGCATAAGGTCCACTGAGAAATCCACTTCCCTAGTAGGAGGCATACCCGGTATTTCCTCGGGAAATACATCAAGAAATTCACGGACAACGGGTATAGATTGAGCTACCTCTCCTTTTGCCTTCAAGTTCTCGACCGAACACAAGTATAACTCATTGCCTTTATCCATATACCTCTTCATCTTTGTCATAGACACTAGCTTAATCCCGGGTTCTTCCATCTTTCCCCGATATGACACCCTTTTCCCACTGGGTCCTCGTAGCACCACCTTCTGATCTTTGCACAGGATTTGGGCTCTAAATCGCCCCAACCAGTCCATACCTAAGACCACATCTATCCCGTCCAAGTCGTACTGGATTAGATCGCTAGGGAACTCTTCTCCCTTGATGTTGATCTTGATGCCCTCAAAGAGACGGTCACACGTCTTAACTTCTCCCGATGCTACCTTCACGTTAAACTTCACTCCCGTGCCCCCAGATAAGCCCAACTTCTTCACGAGTCCGGGTGATACAAACGAGTTAGACGCTCCTGAATCGAACAAGACTGTTGCCGGAACGGATTGCACAAGGAAGGTTCCCACTACTACGTCACTGTCACTTGTTCGAACTTCACTTAAGGTAAGCACCCTCTTTTGGAATGACCCTTCCGCCGGATGATGAACCTCTATCCTCCCATGCTTTCTTACATCTCGGAATACCGGCAAGGTAGCTGCACTAGGACTTACTCTTGTGGACGTGCCACTCCGGATCCACCGCTCAATCACCCCAGAAGCGTTAATAGATTCGGCCAACCAAGGTTTCTTAACCACTTCACTCACGTCTGCAACCGTTGCGGTTTGCTGGCGAGGAGGCATCACAGACTTCTGCTACAACAACGAGGTTACCAAAAGATAGCAAACAAGCAAAGAACAGAAAATAACACAGAGCTCACCGCGCAACCTAGAGTCCTAAGCCTAACACTTAGCTTCTTAAGGTCGCATAAAGGTCTCAAAACACACTTAACCACTTAGAAAGTCAAGACTTAACTCTTCCTAGGCTCAAAACCTAGGCTCTGATACCAACTGTAACACCCCCCAAACACGACCTATATAAAAACGCCTTAACACCTGCAGGTCATACAACAAAACTAGAATAGCGGAAGAGGATAAAACGAAAACTGGATAAAAGAAATCCAAACGGGGTGTTATGCCACGTCTACCAAACACGGTAAACGCTACGGCGATCAATCTGCAAGTGTATACATCTATCCCAAAGACATCAGTCTAAAACTACATTGGCGCACAGGCCACAAAACAAGGATAAAGGTACTAAGCTACCAGGCACTAGACGTCGTGCTCGTCTAAACATCACCTGAAAGATACAAAGATAAACATTGGGACGACGCCCGGTCAGCGATAATGCTGGTAACCCACCAATACATGTGAAATATCATACATAGATAGGTATAAGTTGTAAAGCCATTTTCGAAATGAAATACATAAGTATATAAGTCAAAAGCCAAGATCAACAGTCAACACAAGACTCATCACTCTCAAAGATAACACGGGAACACATCCCAAACCACAAAGGTTAACCACAACGCAAAGGATAAAGACAAGACCATTGGCAACACATGCCCTTGTGACTACACACGTCACAAGAAAGAGAACTCACAACAACGGCTACACAAGCCCTCGCGACATCACCCATCACGAGTTGATATGCCTTCCTTATGCCCTGTTCCAACCTTATGGCTACCCTCAACCTTATATCTTCTTCCATCCATTACCTCCAGGACCCCTGTACAGCCAAGTCCAACCTTATTCCCCCGGGACCGTCGTCCCCCACCAACGACCACCAACGAGACCACCAATTCATAGTACACAAGGTACCGTACACGGCAACACATGCCCAGATAAGACATGTTGTCCCTCAAAAACGTGAACCTTACACAAAGGCCACGGCTCCATAATCACGTCACGGCCACCACGAGGACCGCTGCAATACCTTGGTGACTAGTGTCCCATACCACTAATCGTGCAATCCAGGTAAAGCCACACACGCACCACAACTCAACAAGAGTCAAACAACGGATTACAACGAAGGTATGAAACATACTCGATCAAGGAACGGGTCACAGCCCAACAATATCAACAATGAATAACACAAGTTATCATCAACCAAACGGAAGGTACAAACAACACATACGCTAGCATTAAGACAATAAACTAGCATGCTTAACAACGGAGAAACTCAAGATAGTTCCGAGGAACACACAAGACACCTCTTGGTCCAACGAAACACAATGTTGAACACTTAGCACGATTCAAGACACCGAAGTCCAACATGGATACCTACCATATAGTTCTAGACATACGAATCATCAAGAAGAAGCTCAAATAGTTCCACAAAGAACATCGGGAAGTCAAAAGACCAAATACCAAGTCAAAAGAATCACGGGGAACAAATCCCGATCCAACTCCACTGTGTTCCCCGTGGGTGGACCCACGGGTAGGCCCCTACCCGTGGTTCTGCCCGCGGGTACACTACCCACAAGTCTATGTACCTGCGGGTGGGCGGCGGGTAGGGCTCTCCCCGCCGTTCCGCCCGCGGGTACACTTTCCTGTGCAAAAAAATCCCTTCGGGGATTTTCTTCTGCAAACACAAATTCAAGTCCAAAACATGCCAAATCTCACCTAATACAACAAAATGACTTGAATCATGGAAAATGCCAAGCAATGGCACAACGGAACCCTAATCATAAGCTCTAGATATGCAATATCACAAGACAAATGCATAAACCCTCACATTTCATAGCAAAACACAAGTAGAATCCAAGAAATCACATATAGGTAAGCAAAATAGGTTTTTAGAGCATGGGTTACCTCTTGTAGACCAAAAGACTTCACTTTACACCACAACAAGCTCCCCACAAGGCTTACTTTCCAAACCCACTTCAAGATCAAACCAAAAGATCATAAAGATCCTACCTTTAAGAAAAAGACAACTAAGATGGAACCAAAAACACAAGATGAACTTAGATCCTACCCTCCTAGATGCCCAAATAGGTGAAAGGTTGAATCTTGGTAGCAAATCTTGGAATCTTGACAAGGGTCTCAACTTAGCTTGGAGAAGAGTTAATACCCAAAATCGTCCTCAACTATAGTGGTTTTTCTCAGTTTCGTCCTAAACGACTTTGGTGACCTAATATCGTCCCAGACTTTTGCGTTTCGCTCAATTTAGTCCTCCATTTGTTATTCCATCAAATTGGTGTTAAATAAAGGGACAATTCAGTAATGTCAATATTGATCTCTCTTTACTTTCAACTTGTGAAGTGCAAAATTCCTCTTTCTTGTACGAATTACACCCAGAATTACTCCCGGAGCTGCAAATCAAATTTTATATTCGCAGTTTTAGGAGTAATTCTGGGAGTAATTCATAAAAAAAAAAAAAAAAAAAAAAGGATTTCGCAGTTCACATGTCTATGAGTAAAGAGATGCCAATATTAAAATTACTGAATTGTCTATTTATTTAACACCAAATGGACAGAATAACAAATGAAGGACTAAATTGAGCAAAAACACAAAAGTCTGGGACTAAATTGAGCGAAACACAAAAGTTTGGGACGATATTAGGTCACCAAAGTCGTTTAGGACGAAATTGAGAAAAACCACTATAGTCGAGGACGATTTTGGGTATTAACTCGCTTGGAGAATAAGCTACACTTCTTTTCTAGAGAGAAGGTAGAACTAATTTCTAGGAAATGTAAGGAATGAAATGAAGAAGTCTTCTAGGTTAGGTTACAATACTAACTCTTGGTGAAAAGTCAAGGATACCCTTACTAACCCTTAGAAAGTGTAAGGAACAAGGGAACTCCCCTCAAAGCTTAAGGTACAACACAACTTAAAGGTTGACTAGTCAAATGCTAGTCCTTGAGTATTAAAAATCAGGATTTTAGGAATTAATTCCTCAAATAAAATAGGATTAATCACTCAATTAATCCATGGATTGAATGTGGATTTTTGGGGTGTCACAAAAAGGGACAAGAAGCAAGATGATGATGATGTCACCGGGAACCAAGTTGCAATAGTTGGAGGAGATTTACTTGTCGTCTGCGATGAGAATGCGAACAATGCTGCTTGCCATGAGACATCTTGGATTGTGGATTCAGGTGCAGCCTACCATGCTACACCAAGGAAGGAATTCTTTGCTTCATATACTCCAGGTGATTTTCGAGAGCTAAGAATGGGTGATGATGGTCAGGTGAAGGTGATTGGTACCGGTACAGTTTGCCTTGAGACAAGCAATGACGCAAAGCTGGTACTTAAAAATGTAAAGCATGCACCGGGTATCAGACTGAATCTTATTTCTACTGGAAATCTTGATGATGATGGTTTCTGCTGTTTCTTTGGTGATGCACAGTGGAAAATTGCTAAAGGCTCACTGGTTGTTGCACGAGGTAACAAGTCTTCTAACTTGTACTCTTTGCAAAGCTCTATTTCTGGTGGTTCAGTGAATGTGGCAACAAAGGAATGTGCATCAGAGTTGACACGTTCTGATATGTGTGGACCAATGGAAGTTAGGTCACTTGAGGTTTGTTACTGTATCGCCGGGATGGCGATATCCTCAACATAGTCGGGAGAGGGAGATTTGTTTAGGTTGGGGCTTCCCTCCTATGTGGTAAATAGCTCAATTTGGACCAAGCCTATTTTTATCCAGTATAATATATTAATATATGATATGAACCTAATCCAAGATTCAAATAAGATGGAGTATTGTCCCAAGATTACTCTCAATGCAAAGATAGAGATGGATCAAAATACCTTAAACCTCACGAGAAACCCTTTGTCTCGAATCCTCAAACACTTAGAAGAATCCCATTATGCTTCAAGTACCTCGATGTTGCAATCTTCAATCAACTAGAGTCGGATCTAGTTTCCTTCGATTCAAGAACAAGTCCACGAACCTAAATCTAAGGTTGAAGAAAGTAAGATTGATTCGAGTCCACGAATCAATTTGCTAGTCGAGTCCACGACTAGCCACTAATTGAGTCCACAATTAGCCATAAGGTTTCTTACACATGTGTAAAGAAAAACTTAAGAATTTCATTGAATTAAAGCCTCCTCGAAACTGATATGGATGTGCCCTATTTGTAGGTATAGGGCAGCATTGTAATATAAATACAGTGGGAAAAAGAGTCCTAAATCTAATCTAGAAAACAAGTAAATAGAGTTTTATTTAGAAAAGGATTTAAGGAATCCTTTCTAAATACAACTAGTGTTTTCTCTTTTATGCCAAACAATTTAAATTAATGATGACCTAAAATAATAGGGCTTATTTGGGCCTAATTTAATCACCAAAATCCGCACTTAAACAATTATAAAAAGCCTTGAAATCTTTTTCTTCTTTTGCAAATGGGCTTGACTTGGATTTTCACCATCTTTGAATATCACCAATGAAGAGTTGTCTTAATCGTTTGGACTTGGGCCTTGTGATTGGCCCAATTGGTACTCTTGATGGATCTTCATTATGTTGGGCCGCATCATCCTCACCTTCTTGAAAATGATTCGACCTAGAATCTTGTAAGCATTGTCTTCGATCCATGATATCACTTGAAATGGGCCACTATAATACTTTCCTCTATCGAATGGAATTATTATTGGGCCTTCTTGTTTCTTCCACCAATGATTCTTTAAGGATGTAGTTATGGGTCTTGTGATGAGCCCACTATAGACCCTTATTGGATTCCATGTGTACTGGTTCTTATTATTCTCCCATTCTTGAAAAGGATTCGTCCTCGAATCCAAATCTTCAATGAAAGACAAAGTAGGAAGCTCACTTTCTGTTTTATCACGCTCATGGAACTCATTGAACT